AAAAAAAAAAAAAATTAAAAAGAGTAATAATAATAATTAGGGAGATAAAAAAAAAATTGTGCTCTCATTTATAAAGGAAGATGATGTTTTTCACCCGCCATCAAGAAAGCAAAAAGTTTCTGGGTTTTGGCACCAAAAATAAAAACAACAAAAAAAGTGAAAAGCTCTTCTTTTATCCAGTGATTCTTCCCCTCCCCTCTCTCAAACTGACGATACTCCTGGCAACCAAAGAAATATAACTCAAACAGGCCAACTGGATAAGAATGGGACACAGTTTATGACTGAGGATCAGAAAGAAGCTAACTGGACATATAGGCACTGTTCTACTCAGGACATGCCTCAAAAACCACTTACAACAGCTGTTCACAGTAACAAAGATATCACTACGGATAAAGAAAAATGGTTCAATAAAGTGGGAACCAAAAAACAATATCACACTGAGTACTCCCAAGTCAAACTATTTCTAAATACGAAACCAGCATTTAAAATTTCTAGTGCATATTATTTTATACATGTAAAAGATTAGAAGATATTTACTAATATAGCACTTGTCGGTAAACCTGGGTTCATGCCTTACCGGCTATGTGGATACCTCTCTAAAAGTTGACAATCTGTATGTCCTGTAAAGCTATCCCTCAGAGACTGTTATAATAGGGAACAGAATGCTTCAGAAGGCATTTACATTGTTTGGAAGGTGGTCAAAAAGTCAAGATGGACCTAAGCAACTGATACCCTTCCAAAAAGGAATACCTGGCAGTGTACAATGCATCATTCTGGTGGCACAGTGCTTAAGGCATATGTATGACTTCTAACCAGAAGATTGGTGGTTCAAACCCATCAGCTGCTCTGCGGAAGGAAGATAGGGCAATCTATTTCCATGAAGATTTACCACCTTGGAAACCCAAAGGGGGTTGCTGTGAGTCGGAATCGACTTGATGGCAGTGAGTTTGGTTTGGAGAATTTTATACAATGCATCAGTCTTAAACTCTCAGAAATACCTAAGAGCCACAGACTTACCTTACAAACTGATCTCGTCCGCCCACTGCAAACTGGTGGGTATTGGCCGGATTCACATAGATTGTATACAGCCCCACTTTCTTCTCCTTCTCTTTTGTCACTACCAGTTTCCTTTAAGAGTAGAAAAGCATACAAAGTTATACTCTTCAAAAGATCCACATGGTCATAGCAAGTAAGACTGAAGAGTAATGTAGAAATGGCTAATAAGAAATCAAATAGTGTCTTTTCTTTTAAATTTTGGAACAACAAGAAAAGACAAAAACCACCATCATATACATTTATTACTCTGGGGATTGAAAAACAAAAACAAACCATGTATTGAAGTCATTTTTTTAGTATTTCTCAAGAAATACGGGCTAAAGGTGTATGAAAGTACTGTTCTTCAAGAAGCTTCAGTTTAGTGAGCATTCAGCACAGTAACATTCTAAACAGACAATTCTATCCCATCCTTTATTTCTAAATACATCTTCCCAATCACCTGGGAGTAGAGAGACAGCAGGCTAAAAAAAAAAAAATCTTTAAGTTCACAATCTGTCTTTCAGATTCCAGATATATGTTACTTAAAACTCAGCTTTAAAAATGTACACTGAGAACAACTACACCAGGTAAGTACACTTCTTAGAACAATCAACCAGGTGAGATCAGAAGGGCAGCATTTATGCAGGGAGATAGATCAGAAGGCAGGAACACATAGGAAAGAAGGACAAAGGGAAAAGGTAACCACAAGGAGGAAGTGGGAAGAGAAATGTTACACTGCAGGAATTGCAATCAATGTCATAAAACAAAATGTGTATGAACTATTGAATGGAAAATGCATTTGCTCTGTAAACTTTCAACCAAATCACAATAAAACATTTTAAAAAAAAAAAGGAAATCCTGCATAGACCAAAAACACCAAACTCACTGCTGTCGAATCAGATCTGACTCATAGTGACCCCTCCTTGGGTTTCTGACGCAGTATCACCACGGGAGTAAACTGCCCCATCTTCCTTCCCAGGAGTGGCTGGTGGGCTTGAACCACCAGCCTTCTGGTTAGAAGTCAAATGCCTTAGGCATAGAGTGGGAGAAAAATGTAGAACAAAACTCAAAATCATCAAAGACCATGCTTACTGGTCTGATGGAGACTTGGGGAACCCCACACACACACCCTCCACCCCCGACTATGGCCCCTAGTCATCCTTCGGGCCTGGAATTGAACTCAACTCCCATGGCTTAACTTTCAGTCAAACAATAAACAGGCCTAGAGGTGAACAATTACACCTAGGAGGTACACTCCTTAGAACAATCAACCAGGAGAGATCAGAAGCAGCATTTGCCCAGGCAAAAAGCTCAGAGGGCAGGAATGCCTAGGAAAGGACACTGGGAAAATGTAAACAAACACAGGGAGGAAACAGGAAGAGAGCTGTTACACTGTGGGGATTATAGTCAATTTCACAAAACAAAATGTATATGAACTGTTGAATGAAAAACAAATTTGCTTTGCCGTGAATATTCTATAGAGAACAGATCTACTGTGCATACGTGGGGTCATCATGAGTACGAACTGACTCAGTAGCAACAGGAAAGGAAAGGAGGAAAAAAGGGAGGGAGGGAGGATGGGAAGGAGAGAAAAAAAGAAAAAAAATGCAAACTAAAATAACAAGCTGATCAATAGTTGCCTTGGTGCGTGAACAAGGGGAAGGATGTGCTGCAGAGGGACAAGAAGAATCTTTGGAAATATTGAGAATGTACTCTATCTCGATTGTGCAGATGGTTTTACAGATGTATCTGCCAAAACTCATCAAATTGTACACTTTAAGGGAATGGAGATTATTGTATAGATGTTACGTATCAATAATGTTGACTTAAAAATATTAATGTTGGGATTAAAATTCCTAATTGTTGATATTCAATGTCACCTTATTAGCCAGTATTTCATTCTTTCTCTCAGTATACGTATGCACTTACTTATTCAAGCTGAGAGTTTTGCTTATATGGTGGAACCAAACTGGATGAACCCATTCCCTAGCTCCATAAAAGCAGCACCTGGTCTCTAGCCAGTCATCTGTGTGCCAGAGAATAAAATACTACAACTATTACCTCATGATGTAAACACAATCCCAGACTGTTAAATCTATTTTGTTTTTTTTGTTGTGAACATGGTTATAAGCCCTTCAACATTCCATGAAGAAATGGGAAAGGAACTTAAAAATAATTTTGCCCTGTAAACTTTCACCCCAATCATAATTAAAATAAATAAATAACACACACTGATAAAATCATCTGGTGCTAGTACAGCAACAGACACACAGACCAATGGAATAGACTGAAAGTCTAGAAATAAACCCATTCATCTCTGGTCAACTGCTTTTTGACAATGGTGTTAAGTTCATTTGATGGAAAAAGAAGAGTCTCTTCAATAAAAGGTGCTGGGAAAATTGGATTTCCACATGCAGAAAAATGAAACAGGATCCATGTCTCACACCATACAAAACCTAAATTCAAAATGGATTAAGAACCTCAATGTTCAAATTAAAACCATAAAATTCTTACAAGAACAGATAGGGGTTAATGTCCAGTTTAGCTTTTAACAATGAATTATCTAATATAATACCAAAAGCACAAACAGCAAAAGACAAAATAAATAAATGGAACCTCATAAAAATTATAAAATTTTGTTCATTAAAAGATTTACCAAAAAAAATGAAAAGACAAATTACCCAGTAGGAGACTACCTTTGGAAACCATATATCCAACAAGAATCTAATAACCAAAATATTTATTTAACTTTGCCAACTTAGCAAAAAGACAAATAACTCAATCATAAAAATGGGCAAAAGATGTGAACAGACATTTCACCAAAAAGGACATTCAACTGGCCACCAATAACGTTAAACAACAACAAAAAAATGCACAGCTGAGAAATTGCAGTCAATGTCATGAGACAAAATGTGTTATGAACTGCTGCATAGAAAACAAATTTGCTCTGTAAACTTTCACCCAAATAACAATAAAAAAATTTTTTGCAAAAAAGCTCAGCATCATTAGCCATCAAAGAGATGCAAATCAAAACCACAGCAAGATACCATTTCACTTCCACTAGGATGGTGTGGTGGTTAAGTTTGTGTGTCACCTTGACTGGGCCTGGTTGAGGCACTGAGCAGTTGAATGGAGTTATTCCCCATGGTGAGATTGGTAATTAACTCCGTGGTGGAATCTATTGGAGCACCTGAGTAGGTGCTTTGGGTATGTGGTAGTATGCTCTCCATATATAAGAAAACAGCTTTGGAAATGGTCTCCAGTTTATGGCACACTTGGACCCTGCGTGTAGCCGTGTCGTTGTTCAGCAGCCTGCCATGCTCTGCTGACCTTGGGACTTTCAACGGACTTGAATGAATGGCCTGCCGTGTGGTTTGGTAACATCGGGACTGTGCCATTTTATTTGTCGACCTTGGGCTTGTTAGCCTCAGCAGCCAGTAGCTGCCTGAGTGAAGAGATACCTCTAGCTTCAGTGGGCCAGGAGCAAGAGGGGTTTTCACCTAGTCCCCAGAGCCTGGAACTTTGAACTTGGACTTAAAGCATCCAAAACTGTAAGAGAATAAACTCCTGTTCCAGTTACCTTGTATCACTCTGACAGGAATATACAACAAATGGGATGCCTTAACATACAGGAGTTTATTCTTAAAATTTGGAGGCTCTAAGTCCAAGTTCAAAATGCCAGGCTCTAGGGGCTGGGTGAAAGCCCCACAGCCTTGGGCTTCAGCTCTGCCTCTTGCTCCTGGCCCACTAAAGCTAGAGGCATCTATTTACTCAGGCAGCTATTGGCTGCTGAGGCTAAGAAGCCCAAGGTAGACAAATAAAATGGCACAGTCCCAATGTTACCAAACCATACGGCAGGCCATTCATTCAAGTCCATTGAAAGTCCCAAGGTCAGCAGAGCATGGCAGACTGCTGAACAACGACCCGGCTACATGCAGGGTCCAAGCGTGCCATAAGCTGGAGACCATTCCCAAAGCTGTTTCTTACATATGGGAAGCAGATCACATCCCTAAAGTAGCTACTCAGCTGCTTGTGGTAGGTCCCACCATGGAGCTGATTGCCAGTCTCATCATGGGGAATAACTACCACCAGCTACCCAGCCACTCTATCAGGGCCAGCCAAGTTGACACAGAAACATAACCACCACACCGGCCTAATTAATGTGTTTAGTGCTTCTGTTCTACCTCTTAGTTTACTACACAGTGCCTGGGGTCTTAGAAGCTTGCAAGCAGCCATCTAAGGCACAAAAACTGGTCTCTATTATTCTATTATTCACCTGGAGCACCAGAGGAAAAAGGAGAATCAGAAGAAGAAGAATATGGAATGTGTGGCTAATTGCCTCCATGAACAACAACTGCCTCCTTTGCCACGAGACCAGAAGAACTGGAAGGTGCCTGGCTACCACTATTGAACATTTTGACCAAAGATTCCATAGAACAATCCTGAACAAAAAGGGAAAATGTAGAACAGAATTTTAAATTTTCATGGACTCTAGACTTTCTAAAGGCATGGAAGGTATATGAACCCCTGAAAATATTGCCATGAGATAATCTTTAAACCTTAAATCAAAAATATCCTCTGAAGTCATCTTAAAACTTAACAATTTAGCATAACTAGTAAAAATGGTCTGCCTTGAACATTATGCTTTTTTTAAGAACTATCAATATGGGAGCTCTGGTGGTGTAGTGCCTAAGGCACTTACTTGACTGCTAACCAGGAGATTGGCAGTTCAATCCCACCAGCCACTCCTCTGAAGGAAGGCTGGGTAGTCTACTACCATAGTGGTATCACCTCAGAAACCCAAGGAGGGGTTGCTATGAGTTGGGTCCGACTCAACGGTAGTGTGCTGCTGCTGCTGCATCTATATAGGATGATCAAATTGGTAACAGTAACATGAAAGACTACTGCCAAAGGGGCAAGGAGGCGGCATCTTCTGTCCTCCTCTACACAAGAGGAGAACAGAATCACCATCAGCAGCCCAAGGCCTGCTCCTATGACGCCAGACATGCTGTCAACCTCCAGCTCTCTCATCATCCTTAACACCAACCATTCCTCCCATAGTACCCACCACCTTTCTGCTGGGTTCAATAATT